GTGTGGAGGCTGCTAAAGGAGCTGATGGACCCTCCACGTCTCCAGGCCACAGTCACGCCCGGGTCACCTCCACGTCTGCGAGCAGACACACCCCTTCATAACTTTACAATTTCAAAAATAGCCCATTATCTCCGGGGAGGTTCTCCGTGGCGCGGCCAAGGTGGGGGCCATAAGTGGTTTCAAGAGGGCAGCATTCCCTGCAGCTGATAAGCAGCCCCCCCCAGCATGCTTCTGTATGCAGTAATCAAGCTGAGAGGTGCTGCACCTGGACAGGATCGGTCAGGCTCCACTGCTATCACGCCCAGTTGGACCCTAGTTGGGCGAGCGCTTGGGCACACTGGTGCCATATGAGGACCAGCACCCCCTGGCACCATGGCAACACCCACTGCACCATCCCTGCAAGCTGATTGGCCCCCGAAGTGCAACCTTCCCATGTCATTCAGCAGCTCAAAACATATCATTGGTTAATGGTAAAATTCTAGAATCTCCCCTTGAAACTCTAAGGTGGCCGTGGCAGTGCCTGAATGGATTATTCAGGTTCCTTTCCTCCGATAGTTGTACCACAAATCCAGGCTGTCGCTCCGTAAAAGATCAAGGGTCTCAATCACCTTTGCCTGGTTAAACAAAAGGAAAATCTGCTGCTTGTGTGGGGATGACACGCTCCTGCAAGAGCCGTGCTTAGTAACGCTTGCTGTGGGACTGTGAAGTAGGGCAGGCCAGAAGGAGGCACCCGCAAATGTGGGAAAGCCTTCGCCCCAGGGACCAGCACATGAAGATGCACATGACACAATTAAAAAAACCAAGGCCTGTATTTGGTCAGAAATGAAGGCGGGATGATCACCACTACTGGAGAACTGTGCACAAAGCAGGGCAATTCCAGAACAATTCACCACACATGCAACAGGGCGGCGCTGTTTCACAATCATTCCAGTAGGCAGCGGTGAATATGACGCGAGGTGGGAAAGAGGGTGAGTTCAGATTTGTAAGATATTAAATATAGATGGTACTAAATGTGAAAGAAATTCTCCAGTCAGTCGTGTTTCTCAGTGCTGGTAAAGATCAGAGCTGGCAAAAAAGCCAAGTAGGTCTGGTACTGAGCGGTCGGTGAAGGTACACGCCCTGAAAATGAGGGCTGGGAGAGGCGGAGCTCTTTAGGGAGATTGACACGGGTTCTAAATCGCCCTCCGGACGGCACAGCCCCATGGCCCACGTTTCAGGCCACAGTGAAAAGCGTTTCCACAGTCACACCCAGCACAGGCTGCTGCAGCCAGCACATCAGAGCACAGAGCCCTCCACTGCTGTGTGCCTAATGCGTCCCGATTCCACTCTCCGTAAGC